CTTCCTTCCTTCCTTCCTTCCTTCTTTTTTTTTTTGAAACTTTATTGGGTAACAGTGTGTTTTTCCAGCAAGTCAAGTAGTTGTTTCAATCTAATTTCGATCTAGTTGTGGAGGGCGTTTTTCCAGGATCTATCAGCTCCAAGTCAAGTAGTTGTCTTCAATCTAGTTGTGGAGGACACAGCTCAGCTCCAAGTCCAGTCACCGTTTTCTAGTTGTGGGAGGCGCAGCCTACCGTCTTATGCAGGAATCGAACAGGTAGCCTTGTTGTTAAGAGCACGCGCTCTAGGGCCAGCCAAGTGGCTCAGTTGGTTAAGAGTTGGCTTAAGAGCGTGAGCTCTGAGCAACAGGGCCGCCGGTTCGATTCCCACATGGGCCAGTGACACTGTGCCTGAGCTGAGCTGTTGTTGAGCTGCCAACAGGTGGCAGGATGTCTCAGCTGGTGTAACAACAAGATTGCCTGTTCGATGGTGGGCTACGCCCACCCACAACTAAGTCTAAACTCTGGCACCTTGAGCTGAGCTGCCGCCCGGATGGCTCAGTTAGAGCATGAGCTCTTAACAAGGCTGTGGGGTTCAACTCCCCCACGGGATGGTGGCTACACCCACCCGCAACTAAGATTGAACACAGCACCTTGAGCTTAGAGGCCACGAACTGCCGATGGGAAGCCAGATGGCGACTGGCGCCCTCCACAATGAAGCTTGAAGAACCACAACTTGGCTGGTCCCCTTCCCCAATTCCCCAATAAAATCTTAAATAAAAAAAAAAAGAGCACACGCTCTAACCAACTGAGCCACCCGGCCGCCCCAGGGCCCTTTCTTTTAGTGGTGGCTAAAGTGCAGCCCTCAACCCCTTTGGGACAGGAATTTTGCCAGCTTGGTGGTGGCCACAAGTCTTTCCTGCCCAGATCATAGGGCAGGCACAGTGAAACAGGGCGGGTTATGAGACTGTCCACTCCTGTGTTTTTTAACCCTGCCTGGTGGGAATCAAGGAGCTGCACTAGGGAGGAGGAGAGATCAAAGGGAGGCAAGGGGGCAGGAGTCAGGCCCTACTGCCCTTCCAACCAGAGAAACTTGGCTCTTCCCTGCTTTCTGTACGATTCCATATAAAATATCATTGGAAGAAAGAGTTCTCACAGCTTAAAATAAAATAAACCCTGTCGTTGTACAGATGGGCAAACAAGCTAAGACAGGGGAAGAGATGACGGGCCTAAGGACACACAGTCAGGACTTTAACCCAGGTCTTCTCATTCCTGTGAGCCTGGTCTTCTTGACAACAGAGCTTGATAGAGTTCAAGAGGAACCTGTCCCCGCTGCCCTCACCGTCCCTCACAGAGTCCGTCTTAGGCGCTCCCAAAATTTAGGTCCCCTAGCTTCTGCTTACAGTCTCCAGTGATGGGGGTTCCGTACCTGCTCATTATTTTGTGGGCGTGGCCAGTGCACGTGAGAGACATGTGTAGGGAGTGGGGTGGAGGCCTGTGTGTACATTCCAGCATCAGAGATGTCACACCCACAGGCAGGCAGTTCCCCTGAGCCTGGCCCAGCCACCTCTTGCCTCACTTTTGAGGGCTGCAGACCGAGGACTCCAGTAAAGGTTGAAAGGCAGCAGAGTTTGGTTGGGTCTCCACGGGGAGCGGCCAAGGACAGAACCCGGGGAGAGAAGCTCAGAGAACTGGTGAAGCTGAAAATCCCTGGCTTAACAAACAATTAGAGACGGTTAGGTTTAATCAGCAGCGAGGCCTTGATTTTCCTCCCTTCTCATCTGTTGCGGCCAGTATTTTGGACTCCACGGGCCAGATGCGGTTTAGCGGTTTATAATCAGTCTCCTCTATTTCCAAGATGAGAAAGAGAGTAGGAGAGGAGCCACTCGGGCTCGTGCAATGTGCACTAATGGTCATGCTGCCCCTCACACACGCAGATCCACACTCCCACCTAAACCGGGGTCAGAAGACCTGTTCTTCTAAACTGTTGTACAAAAAAAAAAAAAAGAAGCAGAACTGGCCTGGCCATCAGAAAGGGCCCAGTCCCAGCAATGGCCAATCAAATACAGTAATTTTGACACAGCTACATCCCTCAGCCTCAGCAGCAATCACCTAGTTTTTATTACCAAGTGATATGCGTGACAGACATCATTGATGGTGAGATATGAGATTGGGGTAAGGTTAGGGGAAAGACTCCAGGTGCAGTGAGGGTCCAAGAGAGACATGGGCTCAGGGCGAGACGAGGGTGGATGGATGTTACTAGGCAAAGCTGGTTAAAGAACAGCCATAAAGCTGCAGGTGTCATTGCATAGGACTATATTGGGTTGTTGGAAAAGTCATGACGTATTTTTTCTTTTTCATTGCAAAAATGCGTCATGACTTTTCTGACAACCCAATAGTAAGGCTTATGTGAGATGATAGACATATATAGTGAAGTCTTGGTGAACTATCAAGCTACATGTTGACTTTGGGATGCATGTCATTATTGTATAAACAATGTGTGGACCGTTTTGCCCTAGGGTGTCCGGGGAAGTGGGGGAGGGGAAGAAAGAGGAGTGAGACAGCTGTGCGTGGCCTCCTGACCATGTGGGAGGCACTGAGCAGCGGGTGTGGCACCGGTAGCTTGCTATGTATATGAGCCTCAGGTCTGTGGACTCTGTCCACCATCTTGTGACTGCGTGTTGGTAGAGCCACCAGAAGCCACCTGATAAAGCTCTGATCTGAAGTCACACATCAGGTTTGAGCCCCAAAATGGCTGATCTCCGGTGTGAGTGATGGTCTTCCTGCATGGAGGGGGAGAAGCTGAGCAAAGAATTCTTTAGCTACGACTTATGAACCTGAGCGGGGCACCCTTCTCCTCTTCCATTCCCTGAGGACCCATCCCTGCCTGAGCCCCCTCTTCACTCACCCTCGACAGCCCTCACCCTCTCCTGACCGCCTTTCCCCCTGGATTTCCTGCCCCTCACCCTCCCTCACATTGAGTGCCCCCTCCCTTTCCCGAGAGACCCTTCTCCTACAGGATTCTTGGGCTCCCTTGCGCAGTCTTGCCCCTCCTCATGAAGCCCCCATTCCTTCACTGAACCCTGACTCCTCCAGAAGTGGGACCGCTTTTTTGCCCCTTCTCACTGCCCTGTCTTCCACCTGGAGTTTTTGTCCCCTTCACACTAACTTGTAGAGTTCCTCTTCCCTTGCTGTTTCATCTCTTGGGCCATTCCACAAACGTCCATTTGGCACCTACAGAGGCTGGCCCTTGAGGAGTCCCTGGGTGAGGAGGGCAGGGGAAGAGACAATTTCAATCTAGTGTCAAGTTGCGGAGGAGGAAACAGGAGGCGACACGAGGGTGGGGGAGGGGCTGGGAGGGCCCAGAGCCAGTGCCTCCTGAGTTGTGTTTTTAGAGCCCAGTAGATGATCTCTAGGCAAAGCTGTAGGGGGTAAGGAAGGGGGAGGGCATTCAGGCTGAGGGACCAGCATGTCCACAGGTGTGGAGTTGGAAGGAGGCCGAGATTGTTTGCTCAGGAAATGGGGTACAGCTAGTAGTAGTAGCTAGAGAACTAGTTTCTAAGCAGAGTTTGGGGGAGCCCTAGGGTTTTTTGTTTTGTTTTGTTTTTTCAGGAGGGCGCAGCTCACAGTGACCCAAGCAGGGATCGAACCGGCAACCTTGGTGTCATCAGCACCACCCTCTGACCAACTGAGCTAACCGGCCACCCCTGAGCCCTAGGGTTTTAACTGTGGCAGCTGTGCTCATATCTGTTTCATACATGGAGGATCTTTTCTGTTAAAAAGGAGGGTTGTGCTGATAAAACAAAAAACCCAACACCCCTTAGGATAGAGCAGCCCCAGCTGCCTGGGGCTGAGGGAGCTTCCGGGGGTGGGGGGGTGATGCCACAGAGGACAGATGGTGGAGCATTTTGTACTTGCCAGGCTGAGGAGGCTGCACTGGACCTGAGCTGAGCTATGGGCAATGAGGAGCTGCTGAGAGGTTTTAAACAGGGAAGCAGCATGGTCCAGCTGCAGGAAGGGGTGAGGGGCGGTGGTTTGAGGTGGGAGGCAAACAGGCCAGTTTGGTCTGCTTAAGCCCAGGAGAGAAAAGGTGAAGCTCTAAACCAAGGGGCCAGCAAACTTTTGAGACGGAAGAGCCAATCCTGTCCCTCGAAGTTTTGCGAGACCTATAAAACAAATGAAATCACCATTATGTGAATAATACCCTTTAAAAATTTTTATAAATGAAACTGTGATAGTTTTATTTTCATTTTCAATTTTACTTCAGAGCCACATGTACGTACCAGAAGAGCCGCATGTGGCTTGCGAGCCGCAGTTTGCCAACCCCGGGTCTAAACTAAGCTCCCAGTTGAGTTACAGAATGCTAGATCTTCCCAGGGGGCATGTCCCAGGACGACCCTGGGCAACAGGAATAGACACATCTCCTGGGAGAGTGGGAGGCCTGAGAAGGGCCCTTGCCTCACTGAGGTCTCATTCTTTATCACCTCCCAC